GAAGAAAGAATGAAAGAAAGAACCTAAAAGAAAAGAACAGTAGGAAACAGGAGTTACTAGGGGAAATGTGGATAAAAATTGGGTTAGTTTAAGGGAGGGGGGAGGGAAGGGTATACAAGGAACATAGGGGATAAAAGGAAAGAAGGAACTCAATAGAGATAGGACCACAGAAGAAGGGTATTATTATGGGAGAAAGGGGGGCAATGGGGCACCTTAAGAGGGAAAACCATGATGGATGGGTGAGACAATGTGAGAGATAAACAATGCCTAGCTAGCTTTGAAAACCAGTGAGAACCATATCACTCCTACAACCTACTGACAAATTATACATAGCAGATCAAGAAATATATGTCTAGGTAAGGTTTATCTGAGAACAACTGGTCTTTGCCTAAGATTTATCTACATGACACACAGTAATTAAAAATACCCAAACTGGTGGAACTAACCTTCTTGAATATTTAACAGACATACTTTGAGGTCTATAATAATTTGGTCAGAGGGACATAAAGGACACTTTTTGCTCCTTGCCCTCCTAGATAGACTAGTTCCAGGAGACTATAAGCATCTATCAAAATGTCCTATAGTGGTGGTGGGTTACCTGTCCTCTTGATCAAGGAGGCCGAGGAGACCCCATCAGATGGACTTGAACCAGTGTCCAATCTATAAAGAGGAGGGTCAACACAGAGGAATCATTTCCTCAATGCTTCCAAGTGAAGCCAGCCATGGTCAAGTAGGACCTTTGACTTATCTTCACATAGGTGGAACTGGTAAAAGAAAGGGGCCAGGGGCTCCTCCCAAGCCCATGTGACCCCCGAGGAACAGATCCTTAAACAACCTTAAGAGTAAAAAATAAATTGGTTTATCTGGACCAACTGTGTGGCCTTAAATGCCCAAAAGGAAAGTATAACCGAAGATTAAAGGGGGTAATATAATTTCATAAGAGACCATATGTATAGCTAAAGGCTACATAGCAAGTAACAATGCCAGACAGGCGATACCTCCTTCTGAGTTGTTGGCGAGGGTGGCCAAAGGGATTCCCAGACAGTAACCCAGCATAGAACTGGGAAATTGAACAGCAGACCCCAATCTTATCTAAAGGAATATTGACAACTGAATACCACTAGATGAGGAACAGCTGACCCTCCTAAAACAAAGACTTCTAGACAGGCTTACTAGATTCACCAGAAGGACAAGGAGTGGGGAATGGCTGGAGTGCCGACAACACAGCAGACAGTAGCAAGGATATCAGAGTATAAGGGCTCTATTGGGGGGAGGGAGGCTATGGGAGGGTGCTACCTGGGAAGCGGATCTATAAAAAAAAATTTTCAAAGCATAAAAATTTGCTCCTTAATAACTAGTAGATGTGAAAAACATTACCACTGAAATCTACCTGATGACTTTATATCCATGCTCAGATGCTAAGGAGCTCAGAAAGTAACCGACTGTGACTAGTAATAATCAGATATATAGAGATTAGAAACGCATATGCATCTTAGTGTCAGTTGTATTAATAAGTAAAGTTTCTGTATGAAACTGTGTATTTTAATAATGAAATGGAGATCTTTTTCAAAGTTTAAAACCTCATTTAATTTTATGTCTTACAGGGTTTATATGGAGTACAATATTGTATAACTGTATTAATTCAACTGTAAACCTAATAATTTACAGCCAATTTTGAAAGAGAAGCATCTTAGCTCTGGAAATTGTTATTGAAGATGTCAATGCTGTTGTAATGAAATGCCTCTTCTAATCCTTTGGTTATGAAATAAATAATAATAATAATTAGTAGATGTGAAAAGCATTACTATTGAAATCTACCTGATGACTTTATATCCATGCTTAGATGCCAAGGAGCTCAGAAAGTAACCGACTGTCACTAGTCTAGTAATAATCAGATATATAGAGATTAGAGACGCATGTGCAAACATCTTAATGTCAATTGCATTAAAAATGAATTTTTCTGTAAGAAACTGTGTATTTTAACAATGAAATGGAGATCTTTTTTTACAGGTTAAAGCCTCATTTAATTTTATGTCTTATAGGGTTTATACTGAGTACAATATTGTATAACTATAATAATTCAACTTTAAACCTAAAAATGTATAGCCAGTTTTGAAAGAGATGCATCCTAGCTCAGAAAATTGTTGTTGAATATGTCAATGCTGTTGTAATGAAATGCTTCTTTTAAGTATGTGGTTATTAAATAAATAATAAACTGAAAAAAAAGTGGCTCAAATTGCCACTTGCTCACTGACATGCAACATACTCAGGCTTCCATTAATTTCCCATCCCATTACATGTTGGGAAGTAAACTGCAGCACAAGCAAACAGGATCGTTATAAATCATTTTCTTAGCTGTGCACATGTCTAAGAAGAGGATGCAGGAAGCAAAGGTAGCCTCCCAATTAACTTGCTTATTTGGTGTCATGAAATAATAGCTGAAAATAAGTAAAAAGATTCTCTTTCCTTCTTCACATGCACTACACTGATGCCTGCCAGTGATCTGTATCTACGAATAATAAAATAGGAATTTATCAACCTGGTTTTTTCTACTACAAATTTGTAGAAATGTTAAAATGTAGTCATTTATCAGTTGGAAATAAAATAAAGATTTCTTAACGTTTGTGTATTTCCTTGTCTAAGGGCCCAGATATAACTCAGGATTACTGCATTGATTCAGGTATAGCAGCAAACTCTTCAGAATGGTATGTCCCCACTCTTGTTGAATCTTACTGTTTTAAAGCTTTCAGGATCCACAGCAGTTAAAAGGTGGGAACAACCCAAATGACCAATAACTGGTAAATGAATAAACCAAATGTGGTAGAGCCTACAACGTGGTCATAAAAATGAATGGAATACTGATGCATGCTCTGATACGGATGAACCTCGAAACATGCTAATTGAAAGAAGCTAGACACAAAAGAACACATACAGTATGATTCCAACTATATGAAATGCTCCTCAAAAGAAACTATGTAGAGACAGAAAGTAGATTAGCAACTGCCTGAGGCATTGCAACAGGAATGGGAGCAGGTAGCAATGGGCAGAGGCTTCTGGAGGGGATTCGGGAAAGTCTAACACTAGACTGCACTGTTTGAGTAGCACAATTCTCAGAATATTCTAAAACTCATTGACTTGAATCCTTAAAATGGAAAAATCTTATTTTTCAATCTTTCAGAAAAAAAAGAGTCCAAGATGTAAGACTGAAGACCTAAGACTTAATAATGCCAGTGTGCTCCTGTGGTCCCGGCAAAATGGAAGCTGAAGCAGTAGGACACTCTGAGCCCAGTGATTGGAAGCCAGGCTAGGCAACACAGAGAGACACCATCTTAATCAAAGAGGGTGGTGCTGGAGAGATGGCCCAGTGGCTAAGAGCACTGGATGCTCTTACAGAGGACCCCAGTTCTGTTCCCAGCACCCACATGATGGCTAACAACCATCCATAACTCTAGTTCTAGGGGATCAATCTGACACCCTCTTCTAGTCTCCATGGGCACTGCATGACATGATTGCACTTACAAACATGCAGGCAAAACACTCATGTACATTACATAAACAAATGAACAAATAATAGGACTCCACCAGAAAACAGGTATTACAGAAGGGCACCTGCCATGAACACAAATGACCTAACACAAAGTGAGCACATACGAGCATCTTTTTAAAGTTAATGGAAGAGAAGACAACCAGCAGAACAATACGAAGCCTCAGATATAATTCCTCCAGGGGGATTCTGGTACTACGTGGGTGGGACATCTAATCATTCATTAAATAACCAGTGAATCATCCCCTTGTTCTCCCAGAAATGTTTCCATCCTGCATCAAAGAACCCTACTTGCCCGTCATCAGTCAGATGAGCAAGCTACTTCAAACTGCAATTCCAACCAAGCTGCAGCAACACCATGATCTAGGAGCTCTGCCCCAGCATTATGACGATATCAACTCTCGCCCTTAGACCTTTTCTCAAGGGTTCTATTTTCTACAGATGAACAATCAGTCCTTTGTAAAACTCTGTTTTGGACACTCATTCTTTTTCCAGTGACCACAAGCAAGCTAAAAACAAAACAGTATCTGAGATATCAACTACTTAACATTTGCTTCATGAGGCTCATTTTTTCAATGTGCCTAAAAAATGAAATCTTGGGGCTGGAGAGATGATTCAGCAGTTAAGAGCATATGCTGCTCTTTCAGAGGACTTAAATTCAGTTCCTAGCACCCATGTCAGGCAGCTCACAATCCCCTGGAACTCTAGCACCAAGAACTCTGGACACCCTCTTCTGGCCTCCAAGAACGTGTATATGCATCCTTGTGTGTGTACACACACACACACATACACACACACACACACACACACACACACACACACACACACTTAAAAATAAACATGAGTCCCTGGCCACCTGACCTTACCTGTCCAGAGCAATGGTTGGAAAGCTGAGGATAGTTACAGAGCAGAAAACTTTGTGTAAAAATTTGACGACCTTGCAGAAGAGCATGGTATAGATCCACCAGCAGCAGTGAGGACTGGTACTGAGGATGATGTCGAAGGGCACACAGACCAGGCTGGCACAAATCCCCGAGCAGGCCAGGTTTTTAATGAACCTGTTGGTGACAGATTTGAACACGGTTGTGCGGCAAGTTGACCATAACACCATGAAGTTTCCTGGCCAGATATATAAAAAAAATAAAAAATAAAAATAAATTAAGGATTTAAATAAAGAGAAAAAGACAAAAGAGAAGAAAAGAAAGACAGGTTAAAAAATTTCAGGATGTTGATTCTGAAGCATAGTATACTGCCAATGTACATAAAACTATTAGATCACACACATATCAAAATTGCTACATGAAATTTTAGCGGTAAGTTTTGTTATTTAATTCTAGGCAAAAGGTATTCTAAGACGATGCTTCAGTCTTGTTGGCAATTTATCCACTTTTCCCTTGAGATGTGGTCTTTCACTGGTCTCTCACTTGCCAAGTAGGAAAGGCTGGCTGGCCAGTGAGTCCCAAGGATCTGCATGTCTCAACCTCCCCAGCTCTGCAATTACAAGCAGATGCATTCTGGGCTTTTAGGGGTTCTGTGGATCAAATTCAGATCCTATGCTTTCAAAGCAAACACTTTTCTAACTGACCTATCTCTCCAACCCAAAACTTGTGGGTTTTTTTTTAATTGCTTCTTTGAGAATCTCATACAGTATATTTTGATCATATTTCCCTCCTCCACTCCTAACTCCTACCAGGTCCACTCCCACTTCCCTACCTACCCAATTTGTGTCCTCTTTTTCTTAATCCAAGTCCAATTTGTGCTGCTCATATACTCTTGGGTGTGTGGTCATCTACTGGAGCATGGTTGACCTACCCAAGAGTCACTATCTTAAAGAGGACTGACCGTCCCTCTCTCAGCAGCTAACAATTGCCAATAGCCCCTCAGCTAGGGGGTAGGAATTCATGCCTATCTCTGCTCTCCATCCTGAATTTTATCTGGTTTAAGCTTGTACAAGTCTTGTGCATGCTGTCACAACTGCTGCGGGTTCATCTGTGCCCCTGCCCTGTTGTGTCTAGAAAACACTATTTCCTTATATCAGGAAACAGTTACATTTCCACCACCTCTGGCTTTGTTCTAGTTTTCTTACAGTTGCTGTGATAGAAACACTGACTAAAACCAACTTGGGGAGGAAGGGGTCTATTTGGCTTACAACACAAGGCAGGAACTTAGGGCAAGAACCTGGAGGCAGGAGCTGAAGCACAGACCATAGAGGAGTGTTGCTTATTGGCTTGTGCTCTTGGCCCAGGCTCAACTTGCTTTCTTATACAATACAGGACCACCTGTCCAAGGGTGGCACCTCCCACAGTGTGCTGGGCCCTTCCACATCACTCAACAATCAAGAAAATGTCCCACAGGCCAATCCTCTGGAGAAAATTCCTCAACTGAGGTTCCCTATATCCAGGTGTGGACAACTAAAGATATCCCACATGGGCTCTTATGATCTTTCCACTCTCTCTTCCACAGTGATCCCTGAGCCTTGGGATAAGATGTGATATAGATGTCCAATTTAGAACTGAGCATTCCACAGTCTCTTATTCTCTGCAACTTGACCAGTTGTGTGTCCCTGTTTTACTCAACAGCTATTGCCAAAAGAAGTTTCTCTGATGAGCGTATATGAGTATAACACTGAGTCATTAGGAGTTGGTTTAATACTATAGTCATTTAGCAGAATAATAGTAGTAGGTTCTCCCCTAGGACCTACCACCTGTCTAGCTACAGGTTCTTGGCCTTGATAACAATGGCAAAGTATGGGTTTCATCTTGTGCAGCAGGCCTGAAATCCAATCAGAAAGTAGTTGGTTATTCCCACAATAGTTGTGCCACTTTTGCACCTGTAGGCATGTCTTTCCAGGCTGGCTGTTATTGATGCTTGCAGGGTTTGGAGCTGGGTAAGACTGATGATTACTTTTCTATTCTGGAAGTATGCATAGTGCCTCCCAGCACTATGAAAGCTAGCCAGTAGAGATGAAACTTCCAGGACCGTACCAGCTTGATTTCTCCATGTTCTATGTCTCAAGTGTGTGGTATCTTCAGCAATAGGGTGTTACTGTGGCACTACCAGTGACCCATTGAGAAACTTCACTCATGGAGTAGTTTAAAGTGGGCTCAATCTTTTTCTGAGATGAACTGTTCTTTCAGAACCAAACTTTCAAAGTGCTCCCTCTCATATTTATTGAACAGTATATCAAGTATGGTATGATAAAGGCATGAACAATGTTTAACAGCAAAGGAAGAAATTGTTTTTCTGATCCTACTGACTCAGAACAGCACACAGACGCCATCAGCTACACCTCCATGTTGCTTACAGCATTTGTGGGGGAGAAGTTGTTTGTAACGTCATTGTTTTCAATGTCAGGCAAACGTACATTACTCTGAGTCAGAGGCATAACTGAGTCACAAAGAGGGAACATAGTATAAAATTAAAGCTATGCATTTAGCTTAGCTTATCAGAGTTCATTACATTGGGATTCCAAATCATCATAGAAAACATAAGATTAATTTTGTTTATGAAGTTCTATAAAATTTCAATTTTATATAAAAGCTTATTACCAAGAGTCTTTCTCAGAAAAGTCATTCCCACACCTTACCATCAAGTTCTGGGGGCGGGGTGGGGGGCAATCAAGAGCATTGCCAATAGCTGTAATGTTGAACGGTCTATAGGACTCCAGTGGCCAACAACTCCAAAAGCAGCAGCACATTCCTGGCACTGGGTTTTTTACTTGTTAGCCTCTGGTGTCTAATAGGGGCATTATCACTCTGTTTTAAAACAACTTCATTTAATATGCATGTATGTTTGTTTATTTTAAGAAGTTTCTATAGTAGGAGGTTATACACTTAAACCTGCATGACCATTGGTATCACCTGGTTGTTCTTAAAATGAAGATTCCCCCAGCCTGACTCTACTACAACAGAACTCTGGAGGGCCAGGGAATCTTTAATTTTATGTGCCCAGCAATAAATTCTGATGGAATAACCACAATCACTCTCTTCCAGTCTCACCAAACTCAGCATCACTGTACTGACTCACGGTTCCTTAAATAGAAAGAGAAACACTCCCCTCTCCCCCAGTATTAAAAGCAAACACGGGAATCTCAGTTTTTTTTTTTTAAAAAAAAGTTGTTATTTTTTTATTTGTGTGTTCCCACAAAGGCCAGAAGAGGGCATCAGACCTCCCTGGAGCTGGCATTACAGGCAGTTTCATGTCACATATGGGTGCTGGAACCCAACTTGAATCCTCTGCAAGAGCAGTACACACTCTTAACTGCTGAGCCATCTCTCCAGCACCCCCAAAAAGGTTTTTTAAAATGCTCAGCAGGTAAAAGCACTAGCTACACAAGTCTAATTACCTGAGTTTGATTCTGGGATCCCATGGTGGAAGGAGAAAACTGACTCCTGGAAGTTATCCTCTGGCCTTTCACATGTGTGCCATGGCATGTGTGCTCGCTCACTTACACATACAGCACACATACATAAAACACACAATTATAATAAAATAAATTTTAAATCAAAAATTTGTTTCTTAATATAGAGTATAGAAATCTAGGATCAAGGCATTGATCTGTTCGGTTCTCTACTGAGGACTGCTCTCGGCTCCCAAGATGGCACCTTGTTGCTGTAGCCTCTTGAGGGGATGCACATGGTAGGAAGGAGAAGACAAGGAGAAGGCTCACTGCCACAGCCTCTTTTGAGTCATGATCCTATACTGGGGGGAGCAGCCCTCGAGGCCTAATCTTTTAAAGCCCCACCTCTTAATACCATCATGCCAACCACTGTGCTTTAATGTTCACATTTTGAAGGGGACATATTCAAACCAGGGAAAAATCTAAGAGTCAAATTCATATATTTCTTTGAACCCTTAAATCTACTGCCCAAGCCAAACACTCAAAGGGAATTCCCTTTCAAAAGAAAGAGTGAGAAGCTGGGCTTGGTGGCGCACACCTCTAATCCCAGCACTCAGGAGGCAGAGGCAGGTGGATCTCTGAGTTCAAGACCAGCCTGGTCTACATAGTGAGTTCCAGGTCAGCTGGGGCTACAGGGAGACCTTGTTTCAAAACAAAAACAAAAACACTGTTAAGCTGGGTGGAGCTCAGGGTAGTGGATAGGAGAAGGGCATCAAATCCAACAGCTGAGTTTCCCAAAGTTCATACTCCCAAAGGAAAGCTTAAGTAGTTCCAAAAAGGATTCTATCGTATTTTGTTTTCCAAATCTTTTTCTCTTTAATATATTCAGATAAAACTCCCAACCACCCAGAAAGCCAACCCTGCTGGGTGATAAGTGATTTTTCTTTCTTTCTTTTTTGTTTGTTTGTTTGTTTGTTTGTTTGTTGCTGTTGGTATCAGAATTATGAACATCACAAGGTACAAGAGAGAACCAGTCTGAAGCCAGACAACTGTGCCTGGCAGTTTTCAGTACAATTTGCTCTACTTCCCTCACTAAAAATCTGGGCCTTTTCCTCACTAATGAAGTGTCAATTTGCTCTAACTCGTGATTAAACTGTCTTGTATCTGCTCTACTCTGTTTAAGCTGATCGCTATTATCATGAGAAAACTATGCTATTTTAGCTACAATTAGATTCCAAAGCTTTTTGTTAAATGATACAGGGAATTCAAATTAAGTAGGAATTGAATTAACAGGAGAAAGCTACATAGTAAGTATATTAAAATTCACCATGAATTACTTTGAATGAAAAGCATCTTATGAAATACATCTTTCTGATTTAACCTTGGATAGCTTCTCCTTAGAGTACTCATTCTCAATGAATAATTCAGGCAAAATATTAACAGGGCTCAGTTTTGTAATTCATGAGAATATATAAAGGGACTCCAGTAATGGCCTGGTCTGCTCAGCTCCTCTGAGGCCACACAAAGCTATAGATGAGAGTGCAACAAGCACACACAGGTTCCAGCACAATCGTGTTCAAAAAGTAAGGCAAACTGTATGTCTTCAAGACAGAAAGACTTTGGTCACAGCCAAACCTGCCCCATCCCTGCAACTCTCAAGGAAGTCAAAGCCCCTGAAATTGGTCCCTAGTGTCTCCATACACAGATGCAGAAGAGAAGAAAAAAGTCAAGAGTCTAAACTAATCTAGGGGTTGGAGAGATGGCTCAGAGTTAAGAGCAC